CTGGATTAGATAACCGTAGATTCTAACCTTCACTTAGAAAACACCTGCAGAATCTGATTTACGTCATTACAATCCGTTTCACGCTGCAGATAGATATTTTGAAGACAAAAATGGTAACTTTTTCACTTCCGTTCCTTCCGTTCTGCAAATATTATAGATACAGAAATTATTATTGTAGAGTTAAATTCGAGTTTTTTACTTGTAAATATTAAAAAAAACAATAAAATAATACAAAGAAATCAGCGTAAAGCAAATAACGGAACATTGATTCTAAGGATTTTACCTAAAATTTATACACGTATCCTAAGCCCACATACCTATTCTGTTATAAATATTTTTTAAACACTATTAACATAATCGTAGGATTTAAAACAACTTTTTAATTTGTTTCTTATATTTATAAACTAATTTAAGAAATCATGTCGATCTGTTATTCTATTAATAGTAATATCTATTTTTTTATTAATAGAAAAAATGTAAACAGCAAACACATTTTCGTATTTCTATAATAATGATAAGATATACCTAAATATTAACACCTCTAGGTAAATCTAAGAAATTAAATTTCTAAGAAATTTATTGTTAACTGACACGCCGGCGTGTCCGCGCTTGTGGAGGGAATATCATATTTGATTCAATTCAATTTAATTTGTTTGTTTAGTGACTTTTAGCAGAACCATGTTGGTGGATGTAAATGGAGAAGAAACATTGTATTTAGAATTAACGGAAAAGATAGAGAGAAAATAAAGTGTAAACACTAGATTGGTCGTTTGATTTTTGATGTCAATGGCATTTTTAAAGCCATTAAGCTAACAGACACACGATAACTCTGGTCACCACTCACGCACTATCGTGGCTAGTGAGTGCATACATTATGAGTTGTCGCGAATATCGCGTGCGTCACGAACTCTCGCCGGAACCAACGCCGTATCCGCGTATCTATACTAATTACCAATTACCTAATTACAACCTATCACAGGAAAAGATAACAATATGCAAGAATTTATTATATAAAATATATATTTTTTTAATTTTCTAGTTGCGATTTGTCAGCAGGTCGAAGGTATCCAACTGAGCAGTCTAGAATTTAGGCTTGGTTACACACGTTTATTCAAAATTAAAATAAAATCACAATGAAGATGAGACTCAAAGGACCATATTCGGTATTTAGCATTTAATATGTGCAAAGTACATACATACTTCAATACCGTACCTACTTCAATAGTTTTCGTTTCCAAAAAAGAAATGTCAATAATTAAAATCAAAGTAATGGACATTAAAGGTTTATTATTACATTTTAATAATAAAGACTGCTTCCGGTACTATTTTTTTTTATTATAATAAAAGTTAAACATTTTTATTATCATAAAATTATTTATTACCTCTTTAAATGGTCACAAAGAAGCATTAAGTACCATTCTTAAAATATAACCTAATAAAACAGATAGTTATACTTGCTGATCTTTATCTTAAAGGGCATGTTTTCATACTAGATTTAAAAGACATCGAATTCCAAGGTAAGTTAAAAATAGTGCTGACGCGTGAAAGACCATTGACCATTACCATTGCTGGTAAGTTTGAAAAATTTAAAAGTTGTATGTATTACTTATTATACTGTCAGATTTTCCCGCTTTATCTCTCCTTTCTGGGAGTATACTGGTTACAAACATTTTGAACAACGCTGAAATACGATTCAAAAAAGCATAAATATCTATAAAGTTCTAAGTTACAGCTTTTATTGGGGTATTTCTCCGAGATTGCGTTCTTCATCTGACTAATCTGGCCAAAAATTATTTTCATTTTTGGCTCTATTCAACACACTCTTATGATTAAAGAAATGCCAAATATTATTTGGCATGTGCATTGGCAAACTTCATTTTCAATACCGAAACATTGCGTATTGCAAATAAATATTCACCCTTGGTATGGCAAATGAAATTACGAATTCAACGAATGATTTCGAATCATTTAACGTTGTTCACACATATTCTACCTATTAAGCATAAAAAGTTATCTATATAAGTGATGTAACGAATGTTCGATTTTTCACACTCGTGAATGCGAATGCGAAAATTAATTAGCTGATACAGGTTGAATTAACTAAGCTAAAAGTCACATAAAGTTCATTGGAAAAGAGTTGTTGTTATTTGATGTTTGTTTAATTTGTTGTTAATATTATTACATTTGTCAAACTTAACTGATATCTATTTAAAAATGACAAGGTGATGTAAAAACATGAGTAAAGCACAGTTTTATTATTATTCCATCAATTCCATATATAATTTCCTTTTCGTTTGTCAAATACATTCGCCAAACATTCGTATCATTTCTTGCGAAAACGAATGCGAATGGTAAAAAATATGGGAATATTCGCGAAAGCGAAAATTTATTAGGTACATCACTACTACATATCGTAAAGGCTTCGATTATAAACCAACTTTATATCGCCTAAAGTGTATTTTTATTCGCATTGCCTAAATGCAGTGAACTTATTTATATTGATTGTATTTAAAAATCTAGCCTTTATTAACTACTTATACAATTAACAATGTACCAGTTTTCGTCGACTTATATTATTCTATTTTCACTTTTGCTTGCCGTTCAAAATGGGAGTATAAGCCCATTATAATATTTGCATAAAGCATCCATTACGCAACACCTTCGCAACCCATGTGGGTGATTGACAGGTAACAAGTAAAGTAAATGTGTGATCCTTATGAACTTAAACATAAGGATTATATTGCGATAAAAATGTGTAAATTGAGTGGTTTCTGCGATACATTAAGCTAGAAACTGAAGCGGACTAATCTATATATATAAAAGAAAGTCGTGTTAGTTACACTATTTATAACTCCAGAACGGCTGAACCGACTTGGCTGAAAATTGGCGGGGAGGTAGCTTAGAACCCAGAGACGGACATAGGATACTTTGTATCCCGTTCGACCGCGTTCCAATTTTTATGATATTTTAATTTTTGGATTTCTCTTTGTCCAGAATAGGTAAGTATTAAAACATCAGAATAATTAACGAAAAAAAATTAAAATTTATATGGCTTACGCTGGCTAATAACTTTTATATCTATTTAAAATGTACCTAGCGACGAACCCGAGCGAAGCGAGGGTGAGCCGCTAGTTTATTATAATTTGTGAACAAGTAACTAATAAATGTATACAGATTTATGCGTTTGTTTATAGCGTATTACTTTCTTTATTCTTCATCAGTTTACCTCGTGATACATGCTTGCTAAAGGCAGTGCATACGCCCGACCAGCATACACAGTTATGCCATAACAATGTCAGTAATAAAAAAGAACGTGTGTGTGTACTTATGTACGCACGTAAGAAGTTATACTTTTTTGGTGCATCAGAAAAAAAATAGCGAAATATTTCATCCTGTATATCACAACTCTGTAAGGAGTGCAGCTAACTTCATCATGTCGCTTTCAGCTAACTTCATTATGTCGCTTTTTGGCTGTCGGTGTGCGCGCGCATCGTAAATAAGAAGTATAACTTCAAAAAGGAAGAAGAGATATTTTTACAATATAAAATATTGTTGGTTGTAAATGGATACTTATACAAGTGGGTACGTGTAGAGTATGCTCATGACCATGGCTCTTGGTAACAGTGCCGAAATATCGTGAACTCGTAAAATTAAAAACCTGGTGAATATCCCGTTATTAATTATAATAATATTGTCAGTGACCATAAAAACTTAAGAGGTAGATATAGTCTTTTGCTGTTATATACCTACTTTGTGACTCTTCAATTTATACGAATTACCAATGTTTTTTGTTTAAATAAAAAATTTTGTCACTAGTAACTTAGGGCACACATGTTCACAATATGTCAAACGCTAAACCGTGTCATGGTCGTGACATAACTTGACACGCGTGACTAAGCAAAGAATACTCCGAAATACATTTCAAAACATTATAAAAAATAAAACACAGTATTAAATTTCGATTTTATTGTTAATCATTTACAAAATGGTAGTGCTTGTTGTATATTAAAAAAAAATATCCGAAATAAATTAATGAACATTAAATTTTCATATAAAAAAATAAAAAATAAAATAATAAAGTAAAATACATAATTTAAATAGAAATGAAAAAAAAAACATTTTTTATTATTCACACAAAAACTTAATAATAATCTCACTATTCATATAAACTCACAATAAACATTTCATCAAATAATGTTGCCAAGTTATCAATTTTTTGTGATATTTACAATTCAAAACTACTACAAATTAAGCATACTTTTTCCCATGTAATACTATTATTCCCATAAATACATAACAAATTCCAAATAAAAGAGATATTTAAGTATTTTTTTCATTATAATTGTACATTATTGAATATTCTTTTTTAACATTATTTACTAAAACAATTTTTAAAATATAATGTAAGAGCAAATTAGTCACTCTTGTAGATGACAATGAACTGAACAATGTGCTCTAGAATATTTTCTCCATATTAAAATCTGGCAACATTATTTTGAGTCGCTCAAAATCCATCACTATTACCTAAAATACTTTTGTGTAATAGTAAATATGTGTATGTACTTATTCTATTCTATTTATTTGTGCACATCCTTTCAATGTTACAATTTACTTGCTACTTTTGATATTTAATGACACTTATACAGTGAATTTTGTTATTAAAAACCTACCTAATTGCTTTATCGAAGCACTTAATTGAGCTGTTACAATAAACTAGCTGGCTAGATTATTTTCCCTTGAACTTCCTATTTTTTATTTAAATTGGGTACCACTTTTAAAAAAAAATAAATACAATTTAAATAAAATTAAAAAGATCCATCAAGAGAAAGATGTTTCATTCTTTATATTAATAAATTAAAAATGAAATAAAGACTTCATACCAGGAATATCTAAAAATAAATCTTGTATACATAAAACATCACTTTACATGAAATAAAAACTTGAACATTATAAATGATTGCACCTAAATCCTATAAAATTGTTAGCAAAATTTTCTTTTATGTACGAAGTATTTGGAACAAGTCATAGTCATTAAGATTCACTAGTCCTGTGTGTCCATTGATCATGCAATAGTATTCTGCGCCTGTTATGTAGCAAAGCACACTGAAACCCACCACAACACCCAGTGAGTTTGACATGAGAAACACAATGCCAGTTGCCACAAGTAGTCCAATATAAGTGACGTACCTTAAAAAATAATAAACCCTCATTTAAAATTGTATTATTAATTACTTAATTAGTGCAGGAAAAAATATCAACATATAAAATATTATTAGTATACATAACATTATATTTTTTCCTGCATGATATTTTAACTAGCAACACATGATCATTTAAAGATTCATAATATTTCACTTATTACCCATACTTATATTAATTATACTTTATATTATACATATTTAGCAATAATTGAAGACATAGTGTATTTATATTATGAAAGCAAAAAATTAATTCAACAAAATAACATCCACCATGTCCACAGTTTTTATTACAAAAATCTGCAAACATTAACTGTTTTACCTCCACCTAAAAAAAATGTTATAAGAAGCCACATTTATTTATTATGATAATATTTTTTATCAGAAAATTACAACCACAATTAGAAAAATTTAACTCAACACATGTAAGAAGCCTTTCCTAGAAAATAAATTTACATATTAGAAAAGAAGTTGTATGACATGGCAAAAATTAAATAGTTGATGTATAAAAAATTGATAATATGAACTCTACTCTCAGTAAAGAAAGGAAGCGAGAAGAATTTCAATTGTACCAGAATGAGATATTAATCTCTAAAACTTGAACTATCAGACAACCCTTAAAGAAACCTGAGAAAAAATAAATGATTAGGAAAATGTGTTAGGTGTTTGTTAGTAACAGAACCCACAACCAAAATGTAAATTATTAAATTACCTATTGTTACAAATCACACTCAAGCTTTACAGCTCCTCTTTTCTGTAAGAAATTTCAAATGGTTAATTTTAACTCATAAGGACATACTATAGTTATAGTGTTATGCATATTACCTTGTTATAGATTCTCTCACTGACACATGGTCGTTTCCATCAGATACACAAACATCATCTTTTTTTTCAAAACCTTTTGCACAAGTCTGACAACTATCTGGTCCAGAATCATAACAGTCTTCACATGATTTGTCACAATCCATGCAGGTAAATGATCCAAGGGAATTAAGGCAATATTGATTTCTTTCACAATGATTACCATCCTTACATTCATTTATATCACGACATCCTTTTTCTGGGTCAAAAGTAAATCCAGGCTTACAAGCTGTACAGTCTCTTTGTGAACCTTTACGACATCCTCCCATACATGACGGATGGCACTCGGAACACAACATTTTATTATCATCCTTGTAAGATAAATAATATCCAATTGCACAATCCTCACAATTCACACCCGAGTAACCTTCGTCACATAGACATGTTCCATTGCCTTTCCTGGTTCCATCACCTCTACATTTACCATTTCCACTACAAAGATTAGTGTGATCACCTGGACAAGGTGTGCAATCTTTACCATAATGGTGTTTTGGGCAACATAATTTTAATTTCTCTATACAGATATAAACATATAAGTCAGTTGATTCATCGGGGTTCTGAGCCCACCACTCCTCTATAAATTCCTCAGCTTTTTCAGCCATATGGTGACATTGAACAGCATATTTAGAATACTCGTTGCACATTCTTTCTTGAATATCAACTAATCTGACCTCACTATGTTTATAAGATATAAGCTTTTGTTCTTCCCAAGCTGCATCACCTCCTTCAAATTTGCCTCTAGAAGTCCTTTCTATGCCTTTTTTGAAAGAATCTACAAATAACTTACAGGACTGGCACTCTCCGATTGATGTAGACTGTGACAGCAGGCTAGGATTTATTGCCGGCGGTTGCACACTATCAACCGATGATAGAGCGAGTATAATAGCAAAAACCTTATGAATTGGCTTTTTCATATTGAGACTAACCTAAAAAGCAAATAATTAAAAATAATTATGAGTATAATGCACCTTTTCATTGAAAAAATTCACAATATGACATCCTACGTAGGGTACAAACCGTAGTGCTAGATCCGAGCGCTATTTTAATACTATTATATTATATAATCACAACGTTAACAGATTTTACAAACACCTTATAACATTTTAATGTAAATGTGAATATAAACGGGTCTTCTTTAATAAACTTAGGTATAAAAAACTGACGTGTATAATTTCTACTCGCTATCGATTTTGACGTCCGCACTCCGACTACAACTCAGCTGCGAATTTGACATTTTAGCTATTTCGATTTTGCTCATCCGTTCCGTTTCACGCATATAATCAATACTGTATCATAAAATGCAAATAATTATTTTAACCCTCAAATACGTATCTAATATTTAACGTAATAAAATTTAATATTGAACGGAACGTATTCATTATAAATATATAATATACACAAATAGGCTAATTTTAACTACATAATGTCTTACTTTAATGGTTATGATTGCTGTAATTTTCTACGAACAAAATCGCGTTGAATTGCCTTCAACTTCTTTTATGAACATTTTAAAAGTCATCTCCTACACAAACGCCCACTTATTAAAAACTACATGAAACAAGATTTGATATTTTTATACATAGAAAAAATATTTTGCAATTATTTTATAAGATATACATGTATTTATAGAACACAACCCTTATTTTAATTCAAAAGGGAGTTTGTTTACTTTTTTTGCTACGTTAGCAAAGATGAAGTTTATAACTTGTGAGATTATTTCAATTATATCAATATATTTTAAATTTTGGTCGTATAAGTGAAAAATAAAAATTAACCTTTGAATGATCAATTTAATATAAATCTTATAATTTATCAACATTTTTGTTTTTTATTTAATTTACAAGCACTTTTAAATCGTCCATTTTATTAAATTAGTAGATTCATATAGTAATTACTCAATTTAAGTCTCATTTATATTAGATAGTGGTTTATTATTGATAAAGATTAAGGACCTTATTCTGCATTTTTATATTCAAGCATTTAATGCGTGAACATTAAAACATAAACTAAATAATATCAATATACGGCAAAGTACCTACTCTTTTAAAAGCCATAGAATAAAATAAGGAACGTGTAAACGAAATGAGGATAAGTATGTGCAGGTCGTTAAAATTTTATTTAAAAAATATCGCCCTTAATAATACCTATATGGCTCATCTCTGCACAATATCAGAACTCAGAAGGGCGTGACCAAAGTGAAAAATGATCGATAATGTCCAATACGAATGCTCCGATCGATATCGCATTGTGCAAATGATATATCAAAGGGTTACAAAGGACTATCATCAGTATTTTATTGTCAATCGGTGTTATAATGGGTTTGGAATTTTATTTGTTTTAGGTATTTTTAGAAGCTCCATAATCACATACTATATGAAACATGATCTTGATGTAATGAAAACGTTACAAATATTTATAACTGTCTGGATAGATGTAGATATGTGACGCAATACTTTAATCGTTATTTAATTACAAATATGAGCATTTTAAGCAACTCTTAAGACTTTATACAGTACTAACATATATTTATATACTACTAGCAGAACCTGCGGCTTCGCTCGCGCTAAAACTACAAAAAAGTGTCTAAAAAGCTTGTTTCATGAAAGTTTCATCCCCTATTTTACCCTCTTATAGGATGAATTTCGAAAAGTGCTAAAACACGTATTGAATTAATTTTATTGAAGATCATTAATATCAAGTTTCAAGTAATTCTGATTATAAATATTTTTTTGGATTGTATTATAATGTATTTCCGTGGGTATTAGATAATCTCCTGCGGTAAAAAGTAGCCTATGTCACTTTCCAGCCCTCTAACTATCTCCACACAAAAAATCACGCCAGTCCGTCACTCCGTTTCGACGTGAAAGAAGGACAAACAAACAAACACCTTTCACATTTATAATATTAGTATTGTTAGGTAAGTATATATTAGTACTATTTAGCCACTGACGACAAATCTAAGGTATAAAAAAAATACAGTCGAATTGAGAACCTCCTCCTTTTTGAAGTCGGTTGAAAAGTAATGAAATAGCTATTAAAGGTTTTACTCTTGAGGAAATAGAATGAGAACAATATTATGATTCCAAGTCTTGACAAAGAACTTTACAAATGTAGACGTAATTACGTCGGCTCCACACTTGCATAACTTCCTACTTTCACCGCAACAAAGAGTTTATGTTTATTTTATCTATTGTACTTAAGAGGACTACAAAAAAAAATCAAGTTTAGTTCTAAGCATTTGCAATTTAGGCACGCGCCTATTTTTAGAAAAAAGAAGTAAAAACATGTTTGGTTTGACATAGTCAGGTAACATTAGCCATATAGATACTAAATCTATGAGCTTAATTGCCCTTTTGTTTAAGCTAGAAGTCCAGTTCTGATTTAGTTAGGCGAGTCTAAACGTCAACAATTGCAAATTTATATTAAAACTTTTTTGTGCTGAAGTATTCCTTAGTTCTACGTAACATATTCGAATTTTGATTATACGTAATTTGTTATAATATGTACATAGAATCTATAACGTAGATATTCGTATTACAGATATAACTATTATATAATAGAACATATACATACATATCTGTATAGACAGCTATGTAGGTAGGTCCATATTGGTTCTCATATAAAGCCTTTATCTGCACAATGCGCATGAGCAATTGTACGACCCATTTACTACTAACAACTTGAGCATTCACATATCGATAGTAATATTCATTCTATCTCGTACCTTTCACTATACATATATCTGAAGTAACCTTAGGCGTAGGTACATAAGTGAGTTGCGTGGTTGGGTATCGGGGCTATTATATTCTAATTTGTTTCTTGTTCAACCATACAAAATTCGTCTCTTTACTGCACTGCATAGTTGTAATGTAGTGTAAATACCACACAAAATAAAATACTATTTCAAAGAAATCGTTTGTCTGTTCGTTGGAATGTAGATGTTAATCTCTGAAACTGTTAAACCGATATTTAAACTAATTACAATAATAGAAAATTACATACAGTCTTAATTATATTAAAAATAAGATGTTGATAAAATGTTTGATAACAAGTAGTATGCTTCTAGTTCCTTTTATCTCATATCATTTATATTTCTACAGATTTAGCTTGAAATATTTTATTACGAAAATCTCTTACAGAACAAAAAAGCGTATGTGGTAAAAGCACAAACAGATCTATCCCACGGGAACCGTTCATTTTTGCGGGAAAAAGTAATCTGTTATGGACCGACTATTTAAGGTATTAACATGACAAATTTTACTAAATTAGGTGCATAAGTTGTTGTGTACTAAGCTATATAAGTTACTATTGTTTTTGAACTATCGCACGGGAACTCTTTAATTTTGCGGGATGAAAAGTATCTAAAATGTTGATCGGGGTTATAAGGTACCACCATGCAAAATGTCATTAAATCAGTCCCACAATTTAGGAGATTAGCCCGTACAAACAAACAGACAAACAGACAGAAACAAAAAAAATGAAAAAATCTGGATTTCATCTCTTTTTACATCGCCCTAACTCGGTTTTTAACAAAAAAATTTTCTATGTACAAACATTCACCTCTACAGTTTTATTATATGTATAGATGACTTACACGAAGTTTGATACCATAAAGTAACATAATAAACAAAATAGTAAAGGAAAGTTACGCGTAAATATTTTCCAGCGAACGAGAGTATCATCGGTATTAAGGCCTATGCGAGTAGAACGGTATTTCTGTTGGTATGCTCAATACTGCACATGGTTGATGTTAGTATCGGGTTAACCGCGCTTTTATTCGCTCCATTTGAAACGGGACGAAATAAAAAAACACTACAATAGTATAGCTTTATGACTGTTAGTTATTTAAATATTTTTGTTGCTGTATGTACATTTTTAAAAGTTTTTAAACTTCTTTACATCAACAAATTAAAAATTTGTTCGTTCATAAATTGAAACGATAGTTTAGTTTTTATTATACCCCTTAAATTTTAGTGCGGTAGAATATAAATTTTAATATATATACTTAAGTTTGAAAATTGTATTTTTTTTTATAAATCACGAAAATTATTACGTATATTTCATAAAAAATATAAATACATAGTAGTCTTACAATATACTTTTACATAACTAAAAATGTAAACACAATATATGAGTGTCGTTGTAAACATTATTCTTGGTAAACAGATTTTTTTGAATAATTTCATATATTTAAAAAAATTAAGCGCGCACACTGTAGTAATTAAACGCAAACTGCTCATCAACAACAGTTTTAACTTACTTTTATATGATTATGTAAGTAAGAACGCTAATGTGATGGTCCACTTACATAAATTGCTCCTCACGCTTTTAATTTACTATAAAAATATGTCTCACATGAAAAAAGTGTTACATGGAATTTTAAATTTCTCTGGTATGAACGCTTTCCCTAAAGCTATTTCTGCTAGAAAAGTATATATAATTTAATTCTTACAAATTTTACATATAGTGTGTATATAGTTTTGTGTGTTGATTCGTTGAATTTTCCCTATTTCAGAATCAGATAGCTGAGAAGCAAGAAATCGACGGTTTTTCTATAAGTATGATTTATGGGCCTGCTTAGTAAAAAAACATGCTGCTGCTGTTTAAAAAAAGTATCTATGAACACGCCTGAATATGGTAACAATAGTTTTAAATAATAAGTATATTGAATTACGTACCTATTTATAAATTGTATAATCAAATTTTAAATCTTGATAGAGATATTGTTTAAAAAAAATCAAAACTGCTCTACATTATTTCTTCAACAATTGACTTATTGAAGTGAAAACTTCTTTAAATGCGTCAAGCGATTTTTTCGATCAAGTTTTAGGGGATGATTCGATTTTTTAGGGGAAAACTCATGATTTCCCGTCACCGACATGCTAGTGGAATTTTGTGCCAGACTACGCGACGC